ATGCACGAAGCTCCACAGCATTGCATGAATCCAGGCATGGTGTAATGCGGTCTTTCAGGAGATAGAGGCAAAAGATCAGAAGTCCAAAGTCACTATTGGCTATTTGGAGAGTTTGAGGCCAGCCTGGGCTACATGAGACCCTGTCTCAAAATAGAAACAAAATCTTAACCAAAAAAAAAATACTTTATATTCCTTGGAGGTTTGAAAGAACTCGCTTCTATAGCTGCTCAGGTCAGAGTATGCCTCAGAGTTGGCTCTTAGCTAATTCGGTGGTTTTTATACAGCTGTTAACTGGACACTTTTCTCTTTTGCTCAGTTCTCACTTGCTTGTTGGACAGTGATATAAAGCCTGGAGTACTAGCTTAGCTGCTGTTTACATTTAACGGACCTTATTCTTTTCATTATAATTTATTATATTTCAGTGAGTCTGGAGAAGGATGTTCTGCTCAGAGAATGGCAATGTTTGTAACAGTGTCCCTCCCACCCAGGCTGAGGGATTAAAGGAAATGAGCAGGTTCCCTTTTCAGCAATAAAACTTCACTCTGTCACCAGGGACTCTCACACAGAGTCCAAGACCCAGTTTTAAAAACACCAAGTTGCACATTTGTTTGTACAAGTAACATACAAATGAAATTTCCTTCTTTTAAAATATACAAATGCACAGGAACATGCCTGTGGGCTTGGATCATGATTCAAACCACAGATGCTGAACTTTCAACGTTCTGGAGAAATCAGGATAATTGCTTGGGAGGCACTCAAGAAAGAATTTGCCAGGATGGCTCAGCAGGCTTGTTATTGTGAAGGTTTCCTAGGGCAGTTAATGGAGGTGAATATTCCCTTATCTGTAGGCTCCTGCAAGAACAGGGAAGAACTGCTTTGCCATGGTTGTCAACAGCTCTGCTCATTGGCTGCTGAATGCAAGGATTTCCTGGTCTGCTCTGACTGCCTACATTTTCTGCAAGCCAAGGTCTTCCAGAGGTGGGCCATGCTGTGTTGATGGGCTGACCTAGGGGCTTCCAGGGCCTCCTGGGAACTTAAGCATCGCTGGTTTGTGGACAGAGAACATCTCTTTTCCCCCACATGCACTACATTTCTCTCCGAAGCGCTTCATGAGCACAGTTCACAGCATACAGTAAATGCTAGCAGTTAGCAGCCATTCAAACACTTGTAATCAGTTTTATGAAGTCTCCATTGGGAAACAACATCAAGTTCCATAGGATTCTGGTCCTTCTTTCTAACCACAGGGACTCCAAGTCTGGTACAGCACTGGCCCTTATCATGTCCGGTCTTCCTCTCTTGTTTCCCACCTGCCACGTATTGTGGAATTGTGGGAATGAACTTGGGACTCTGAAACAGGCTTTTTTGGACCGCCAGCCCCTAAATCACGACACAGAGACTTATTATTAAGCTTAGGCTTGTTTCTAACTAGCTCTTATAACTTAAATTAACCTATTCCTATGCTATCACATGGCTCATGGCTTTTTACTTCTCCTCTTGTATATCCTGTTTTTTCTGTGTCCAGCTGGTGACCCACTTTTCTTCTTCTCCGAGACCTCTTTGTCCCCAGGAGCTCTGCCTAACCTCTCCCTGCCCCGCTATTGGCCATTCATCTCTTGATTAAACGAATCACAGTGACACATCTTCACACAGTGTAAAGGAATATTCTGTAACAAGACTCCACTCTGCTTTGCCTGGCTGATGAGCTACCAGGGGCGGCATGGGAGTGTCGTGTGTGTGTGTGTGTGTGTGTGTGTGTTGGTGTCCCTGCTTTCCCAACAGGCAGTGCTCTGTTGAATTCAGTCTCCCTAGGAAGCACTGGTCTCTCTCCAGCCACCAGCTGGAAGAATGATGAATTCTCAAGATCTCTAGGTATGAGGCTTTTCTAGATGAGTACTTCCAACTAACTTCAGACACCCAAATCCACTGTAGTCCTGAAGTGTCCATCACTGAGCAGAGCTGGCTGCTGTGGTGACTTCCCTGCAGGCAGAGGGCAGCACTGGCATGCGAGAGCTTCCTCTGTGCTGCAAATAGACACCAGTTTTCTTCAGAGAGCCAACCCTGAAGTTTACCTTATGTGGAAGATGAGCCTTCTCTTCTGCAGATATTTCTTATTGAGTTTCTACAAGACTGGACTGCATTATGTCATCCTCAAATTGAAGCCCTAACTTCCAGTGCTTCAGAATAGCCACATACAGAGAGGTGAAAAGGTATGTGGCTTAGTCTGGCTGGCGAAGAAGAGGGTATCTGGGCCCCTGAGACGTTAAGGCTCTGTGCACACAGAGAATAGGAGAAGTAATGTCTGCAAGCTAAAGGGGAGGCCTCTAAAACACAAGAAGTGCATAGATATTTTTGCTTGTTTATTTTTAAACAAAAATTTCCTATAAGATTTGATAGATAAAATTATATTTCAAGTCAGGACTCAGGAGGTAGAGGCAGGAGGATCATGAGTCCAAGGTCATTCTTGACTATGGAGCTATCTTCAGGCCAGTCTGAACATATGAGACTCTAACAATAAAATTGAGAAAGGAAGGGAATGGGGGCAGATAGAAGAGAAACACACACACAGAGATAGAGAAGTACATTTCAATAAGCATAAATGGAAAACATGATTGCAAAAATCTGTGCATGTCTCTTGAATGTGCACATTATGTAATTAACAGAGAGTATTGCTATTACACTTGGCAACTGTGGTGTGGTCACAATTGAATGCAAATGATGGAGTAAGACAATGTTGCCCTACTTTGCATGAACACCATGCATTTTAGTAGTGAGGAGCTTTTTTTCTAAAGAAAAAAATTGTGTGTGTGTGTGTGTGTGTGTGTGTGTGTGTGTGTGTGTGTGTGTGTGTTGATATGTGCCACAGCCCACTTGTGGAAGCCAGAGGACAACTTTAGGGAGTCAGTTCTCTCCTCCCACCTGTAGGTGGGTTCCAGGAATTGAGCTCAGGTTTCCAGGCTTATGTGAGAAGTGCCTTTACCCACCGAGCCACATCACCATCCCCAGGGAGCTTTCAGGGACAAAAACTAACTGCCCACTGTCTTAGGGTTTTTATTGCTGTGCAAAGATACCATGACCGTGGCAACTCTTTTTTTTTTTTTTTTTTTTTTTTTGGTTTTTCGAGACAGGGTTTCTCTGTGTAGTTTTGCGCCTTTTCCTGGAGCTCGCTTGGTAGCCCAGGCTGGCCTCGAACTCACAGAGATCCGCCTGGCTCTGCCTCCCGAGTGCTGGGATTAAAGGCGTGCGCCACCACCGCCCGGCTTGTGGCAACTCTTATAAAGAAAACATTTAATTGGGGTGGCTCACTTACTGTTTCAGAAGTCAGTCCATTATCATCATGATGGGGAACATGGTGGCATGCAGGCAGACATGGTGTTGGAGTAGCTGAAAGTCCTATGCCTTGCAGGCAACAGGAACTAGGTGGTTATCCCGAGCATAGGTAACCTCAAAGCCCACTCCCACAGTGACACACTTCCTCCAACAAGGCCATACCCACTCCAACAAAGCCACACTTCCTAATAGTGCCACTCCCTATGAGATTATGGGGGCCAATTACATTCAAACTACCATACCCACTGACCTCAGCAGGAAGCAAAGACTCTAAGAATACTTGGACAGTGCAATGAATGTTGAAACTTTCTTTTAAAATTAATTTCTAGGGCTAGAGAGATGGCTCAGCACTTCAGAACATTCCCCCTCTTGCAGAGGACTTGCATTCGGTTCCCAGCCCCACGTGTGGTGGCTCACAACCTTTTCTAACTCAAATTCCAGGTTATCCAATGACCTCTTAAGGCACCAGGCATACACATGCACACATACATACATGTAGGCAAACACTTATACGTATAGAATAAATTAAATCTTTAAAAATCAACTTTTAGCATGCAGTGTGATGGATGTCATACGGCACTTTCATACTTATGTGCTGTTGTACTTTGTTGTCGTTCAATCTTCCCTCCACTACTCCACCATTGCCACTTTCTAGATTTCTTCCCACAGACAACTCCCTCTTCTGTCATTTTTATAAATCACAGGTATACATGGTTACAGTTTAAGCCGTTCGATCTGTGGTATTTTGTCACAGAAGCCTGAATGAATACACCCTGCCAAGTCTGTCTCTCAGCACACCAATGTGATGTTGTGGGATTCACTTTAAGCCTGGCACTTGACAGGATGCTGGCAACTGGAAAAGCTTGATTTACCTGAACTGATTCCCAGCTTCCCACTCCTCCCACAGGCCAAAAATGAAACCAGCAAGACATCTATCTCAAAGGATACCAATTGTTGACATCGGTAGTGTGAATGTAGAAGTGGCTGAGGGTCTTGCTATGCTAAAGCAATGGTACTAGAGGAAGCCAGCCCTGAGGACACTATGCTAATAAAATAGAGAGACAGCTGGAGTTTAGAGTTTAAGATGACTGCTGGATTCTGCCCTAAGGGGTGGAGGCAAGTCCAGAAGCATTCAGCATGGGTCTGAAATACGGGGACAGTTATGGGACAACCCTGGAGGAGAAGCTCATGTGCAAGGTTGTTGTCTACCTGGGACAACCTCTAAGATCCAGCCATTGTTCCCCTGGTGGCCAGTAGCTAGAGGAAGAGGCCTCAACAGTGTGGTGACAGTGACAGGAGATGGCTTACTTCTGAAGAAGAAAAATGACCTCAAGGCTTATGATTCACACACAGTGATCTGGGAGGCAGCAGAGTTTAGATGAGCCTTTTTTGGAATTGTATGTTTATTGGGTATCTAAGGGTTTGGGGATGTAGTATTTCTGAAAAGCTTACATTCCCAAGCTGCTTTCTGGTGTTTCCATGGTTTTGTCCTAGATAATCCAGAGGGAAGCCCAGTGTAGAAGTAACCATCTTGTTAAATCAGAAACACAGAGCCAATGTAAAGATGAAAGCCCAAGAGGTCAGAGCGATAGCTAAGAGCTAAAAACCTTACCCTTCACTGCCGCTGCTGTCTTCCTCAGCAAGAGACCTACTTCCTGTCTGGTTTTTTTTTTTTTTTTTTTTTTTTTTTTTTTTTTTTTTTAATGACAGGAACAAAAATAGACCTAAAAGCAAAGCTTCTGGAGAAACCATTTGTTCTTCCCTGTCTTGTATCTTTCCTCAAACTTGACCTTGGCCTCCCGCCTGGCCTTGCGTTTCAGGGATGGGTTTCTAAAGACATCCTGTTGACAACTGTTTTGTCCAAGGGGATGCCACAGAGTACCTTGTGGGCATGAGGTGATTGTAATTATAAACTTTCACAAAGGACTTGATCTTTGATCTCTTGGCGATTTTCTTCTTGCCCATGGCAGCTGTCACTTTTCGGGGATAGCGGTCAATTTCAGCCACCAGGGTATGGCTGTAAGGGCGGTCTGAGGAGCCATCATCAATGTTCTTTATGATGACCGCTTTGCGTCCGGAGTAGCATCCAGCCAGGACCAGCACCACTTTCGCGGGTTTCATGAACTTGCCCATTTCGACAGCAAGGAGCCTGTACCCAGCAGAAAGGAAAGAAGGGCCTATTTGTCTTTTTTTTTTTATAGACTTTCTATCTGCCTTCTCATTGGTTGTAAACCCAACCACATGACCTCCTCGTTACTGCCCATCTCTACAGACTTCCAGGTCTTCTATGGTTGGTATTGAGATTAAAGGCATGTGTCTCCATGCTGGCTGTATCCTTGAACACGCAGAGATCCGCCTAGCTCTGCCTCCCAAGAGCTGGGATTAAAGGTGTGCACCACCACCGCCCAATTTCTGCTATGGCTTGCTATTAGCTCTGACCCCCAGGCAACTTTATTTATTAACATACAAATAAAATCACATTTCAATACAATTAAAATATCACCATATTTCCCCTTTTCTATTTTAATAAAAAATGAAAAAGGAAAAAGGTTATAACTAACATAAGAAAAACTATATACAAAAGTACAATAACTATATACCATATATACAAGTAATAAATACCTAAACAATGTCTAGTCCATTTGTATTTGACAAACTCAGAGAAAATGCGTGTAGCTACTGCAGGCTAGCTTGGCTTCTGAACTCTGGCACTTTGGAAATACTCCCAAGGTTCTAGTGAAGTACCATACCCCTCAAGGGGCAGCTGGATGGCAAGACCACCCTATGCATAGCCATCTGGTGCCAGGGGCCTCCTGCAGAACTGCCACCATCTACCATCTCTTCTAAGGAGGCTCTTCCCACAGGCTCACTGGACTTTGGAGAGTTGGTGCTCAGCTCCATCTTTCATGGTCATAAAGTTTGGCTGTGCTTCAACTGCCTTTGCAGTTTCTGTGTCCAAGGAAAATGCAAATGTAATAATGCTTAGGAAATGCTCACAAGTCTGAATGCAAGCAAGGCATGGCCTCTATCCTCTCCATCTTTCTAGTTCTCCCATTACACATGTAGCTCATCCTCAGGCCAGTTGCTGATCCAAGGAACTGACTCCAGATTAGCTGAATAGATGAATTATTCAGGATGTGGGGTGAGGCTTGGAGAGACTGGAGAACTCAGTATTGTGAATGGACACTGATCAGAGCACAGCCTCTGGACACTGGGGGCACAGCCAAGCCAGGAGGCACAGAGCTGAGGGTACTGTGATGGAGAAGGGCCACTTGGGGGAGTCAGTAACAAGTCAGACGTCCAGAAGGGACCTTGCAGAGGACCCGCCTGGGCTCAGTTGAAGGACAGATTCTGTCCTTGGATTTCTGCCAGTCCTCATTGAAGAGTGTAGCACAAATCTTAAATAGTCTTATTAATAAGAACAAACCTGAGCCAGGTATTGGGGTGAATGCTGGAAGATCAGAGAAGCAGAACAAGCCACAGCTTCCTCACCTTGCCAATTCCTCAGCTGATCTGTTTCCTCAGACTGGAAGCTTATCCAAATGGATTTCAGCTGAACTGCTTCTTGAAAGCCTGAAAGCTTAACCAGCCAGTTCCTCGTCCTCACACCTTAGATACCTTTCTGCTTCCTGCCATCACTTCCTGGGATTAAAGGCTTGTGTCACCATGCCTGGTTGTTTCCAGTGTGGCTTTAAACTCACAGAGATCCAGGCGGATCTCTGCCTCTGGAATGCTAAGATTAAAGGCATGAGTGCCACCATTTTCTGGCCTCTATATCTAGTGGCAGTTCTGTTCTCTGGCCCCAGATAAGTTTATTAGGGTGTACAATATTTTGGGGAACACAATATCACCACAGAAGAGTGCAGTACAATCCAGCCCCAGACCTTGAGCTATGTACAGACAGGGCTGGAATGTCTGTGTGCCTCACAACCAAAATAAGGTGGGTGAGATTCCAGAGCCTGACTGGGCTGGATTGAAGAGCAGTAGAAGGGATGATGTTTTGAAGACACCCCAATCCCTTTCCTTAACATTTATTTATGCATTTAGTATGTGTGTATACACACACACATGTGGAGGTCAGAAGACGACTTCTGGGAACTGATTCTCTGCTTCTACCATGTGGGTCCTGGGAATTGAATTTAGGCTTTGCTGCAAGCACCCTTACTCACTGGGTCTCACAGGCCCAGTGAAATTAGGTAGTCGCTCTTGCTTTAAATCTCACTCTGTATGCCCTGTAGTTCTTAACATTTGCCAAGTGTGTGGCCTTTACAGAAGTCCCATGTCACATGCACAGGTTTTAGTTCTTTGCCTTCCTTGGAAGCTGCCTTTCAGTACTTACCCAGCATTGCAGACCAGACTTTCCAACCCAAGATGAAAGAACACCAACCAGATGCCCAGAATCCACCTTCTACCCACATTTAAGGAAGGCAGAAATTAGAGTTTTATCTCCACATTGTGTCAGGAGTGGAGGGCACAGAGTGAGGGTCCCTGGTGGGGGAACCTGTCCAGTGAGCAGCACCAGTGAGTGGAATCTGTTAGTGTCCACCAGAGGGCAGTGTGGCTCCATGCAAGTGCTAGACAGAGAGCAAGCCTTCTGCTTCCAGTTCATTCAGTTATTGCAAGGCCTGAGGGAATTGGATTCATTGATAAAGAGTGATGCGTGCGTGTGTGCGTGTGCGCGCGAGAGTGTGTGTGTGTGTGTGTCTGTGTGTGTGTGTGTGTGTGTGTGTGTGTGTGTGTAATGGTTGAGGTTGAATCTCAGAGTGCTTGCCTATCATGTAGCCAAGAACTCTAGAGGATCAGAAGTTCAAAGTTATCCTTGGGTACACAGCACATTTGAGGCCCAGCCTAGGCTACATGAGACCCCGTCCAAAAACAAACAAACAAACAAACAAACAAACAAACAAACAAACAAACAAAACTATTGAGAGAGTTGAGAGTTTGATTATGGGCATCACTGAGTTTGTCTGGGGTAAGGCAGAGATGTCTAACCCACTGTTTATAGAGGAACAGGTGACAGACCTTGTGTGGACAGTTTTAGCATATATTACAATTATCCCTCAGTGTTGGCAAGAGAGTCATCCAGGGGCTCCCCCCACTTCACCCCCACAGCTAAGATCTGAGGATGCCTCGTCCCTCATAAAAAGAGTGTGTGTACATACCATCCATCCCTAGGTAACTCAAAATAGTGAATAGCCAGATGTGTAAAGAGTTGTTACATTGTATTGTCAGAGACTAAAGTTGGTACATGTTCAATACAGATGCTATTTTTGTGGTTTTTGGAGATGTGTCTAATGAAGCCTGGGCTGGCCTCAGACTTGCAGTATATCCAAGGACAACCTCGAACTTCTGATCTTGTTGACTCTTCCTCTGGAGTGTTGGTATTGCGGGTGTGCATGACACACTCTGTTTAGGTGGTGTTGGGGTCAAACCCCAAGGTTTTGTGCCTGCTAGCCACACACCTCACCAACTGAGCTCTGTCTGGAAGTTTTGGTCCTTGGCTAGTTAGGTGTGTGGAGTGGAGCTCACAGATATGGAGGGTGACTGTGGTCGGGTTGGAGGGATGCCCACATCATTCTAATGATAATTTAGTTTTGGGGAATTTGTGGGGGGTTTTGTTTGTTTGTTTCTCTATAAAAAGGTACTATCAAAGGCTTGCCCAACCCAGTAGGAGCTGCGAGTTCTGGTAAATTTAGACAGACTTCTCAGGTTCACTTTGCCCTGGACATGGTGTGACCACTAATAGTTTTTGTAGCATAGTTTTTGTTTGTTTGTTTTTTGTTTTTGTTTTTGCTAAGAGAGGTTGGGATTCTGCCACAGTTCTACACAGATGTAGCCTCCATACCTGTCAGTCTGCAGGAGACATTTTGGCCATGACCTTCTGGCCTCTCAGAGAAGGGCACTAACAATGCCTTCCCTCTGGGGGAACCCACCGAGGGGTAGCTCAGACCCAGGGTGGGTGGCCAGCTGGAGCTTTCCTCTGAAGAGAAACACATGCGGTTCTGGCTTCTGTCGACTCAGCTCTGGGAGCACCGACCCCTCCCAGTGAGCTTGGAGGCCTTGGCTGCTGGAGATGACCCGCAGGCCTTATCTGCGTTTATCTTTCAGCAAAGTCCCAGAGAGGCTGAGCTTGGTGTCTGGGACTCTGACAGCTTGGAGGGCAGGCAGCTAAGCTTTTGTGGCTTACCCTTCCCTCTCGGTAGGAGGCTCTGAAGAATGGCAGATCATCAGGACTGTGGCTAGAGACACATTTTCTTTATAAAAAAGAAATCTCTGGAGGGCTGAAGAGATGTCTCACAGATTGAGAGTGCTTGTTGCTCTTCTAGAAGACCCAGTTTCTGTTCCCAGCACCTCTGTTGGGCAGTTCACAACTCCTGTAACTCCAGCTTCAGAGGATCCCACATTCTCTCTGCCTTCTGTGGGTAAACACACACGTTCATGCATATATATTGTGAAGACAAATGAATTTCAGGCTAGCCACCCTTGTCTAAAACATTCAGGTGATGTTCTTGCTTTGCCCTGGTCTTCTAGTCCCTGTGTGCCCTGGCTGACCTTTTGACCTACATAACTCCCCCTATGACTTCAATGCAAGAAGCTTGGGAGTGTGTGGACATCACTGAACAAAGGAGAGAAATTATGATCATGCTGAGTATGTGGTGGGTGCCCACACTTGAGCAACACTCGCTCACATGCAGATCTGTGGATACTGCAACTCTTCCCCAACTCCTCCTCCTCCTCCCAGGCACTGGCCTCCTGCTCAGCTTGTTTCCACCCCAGGGCCTTTGCATCTGCTTCCTACTTTATCTGTAACACACCTGCTACAAATTCCACATGGCAGCCACTGTTTGTCATTCAGGTCTCAGCTGAAAGCATAGTGACCCTGGAAAAACTCTTTCCTGGCTATTCTAGGAGAAGTTGGTTTCTCCCCTACCTCATAGTTTTATTTCTTTCATAGTTCTGTCATTTTCTGAAAAAGTTCTCGTTTCCACATTGGTCAGTTTCTTTACTCCTGATCCTCCCATTTTTTGACCAGCTGTGACCCAGGAGAGAATTTTCTCAGTTGTCAGATTCCCCAGTGTTCACAGAGTTCTCATATCGTGGCTAGTCAGAAACCATCTGATGAGAGGCTCATTGAAGTCACTAA